CGTCTCGTCAAAGCTATGGTTTTTCCAGTAGTTATGTATGGATGTGAGAGTTGGACCATAAAGAAGGCTGAGCACCAAAGAATTGATGCTTTTGAACTGTGGTGTTGGAGAAGACTCTTGAGAGTCCCTTGGACTGCAAGGAGATCAAACCAGTCAATCCTAAAGGAAATCAGTCCTGAATCTTCATTGGAAGGACTAATGCTGAAGCTGAAGCTCCAATACTTTGGCCACCGGATGCAAAGAACTGATTCATTGGCAAAGACCCTGATGCTGGGAAAGATTGAAGGCGGGAGGAGAAGGGTATGACAGAGGATGAGATGGTTGGATGGCAACACCGACTTGATGGACACGAGTATGAGCAAGCTATGGGAGTTGGTGATGGACAGGGTAGCCTAGCATGCAGCAGTCCTTGGGGTTACAAAGAGTCAGACATGACTGAGCTCCTGAACTGAGCTGAATTGAAGGATGGCATTCTGAGAAAGCTTTTGCTTTCCTGATAAAAAGAGACAGACCCAGCTGGTTCTGGCCCTTTCCCTCCTTTTCCATTTTGGTCTCCCTTGAATGGAGGTTCAATGCCAGGAACAAGTGTGGAAGATTTGGGCCTTGATAACAAATGCCAGCCCACTTGCCAGAAAGAGGGAGCAAGGCCCTGCAGGCCCAAGAGCTGAGATCTGCAACGGGGCCAGTGCTGACAACCACCCGATCCACATCTCTTGTCCCCAGATGCTGAATTTTACTGTTAAAGACACCTGAGGTGGTCTCTTACTTGCCCATATTCCTAGCTGACAGCGAAGCTTCCAAAGAACGATCCTCTGCCCTCAGCCAGCCTGTGTGCAGCCTACGTGGCCCACCTCAGCCACCAGCCCAATCTTGCTCTCTTCTCCCTTGTCTGTCCTCCAGCTCTGGTGAGGCCCCCACTTTATCTCAGGCCCATAAGGGAACAATCTCATCTCCTTCCAGGTTCAGACCTCAAAAAACCCAGTTCAAAACCTTACAGCCCCGAGGCTGTGCCAATGCTCAGACTGGAGACACACGTGGCTTAGATGCTGGCATAGCTGTGGGGACAGGAATGCAGCCCTCACCTGCAGCTCACACACCTCCAATCCACGTGGAAGTAGTCAACCCAACAGGAGAGAAAGGGTAATACTTTAATTAACGAATAATGCTTTAATGAATGAATGCTTTAAATAATGAAAACCACAAATTATATATAATCAGAACCAGCAAACACAGTAGCAGGAAGCACGCTCTCAGAGGAAATGCTCAAGTCCCAGTGACTCGTCTCCAGGCAATACCCAGGTTCTCTGGGCTGTCCCTGGTCAGGGCATGATGTTCTGAATATCCTCTCCTGATTGTCCCATGGTTTGCCTGATTCTCCTTCAAGTGTGCCCCTGGGAGAAAAGAAAAACCCACTTGTTGATCTGCCACGCTTGAGCTCTTCACAGCCTGAGCCTTTGGGGCACCAGAATGCACTGTGGGCAGCCAGCTGCCTCAGGTCACAGTTGTTGCCCCTGAAGTGGAGCCAACAGAAATGAAAGTGTACTGACACTAACAGACACCAGGCGGCCTCACACTGGGGATCTGTTGACCCAGCTTCTAGATTCAGCTTGTGCGCCCTCGGGAAAAACCACGATTATGGGAAAACCTCAGCTCACACCCACTTCTGGTCTCAGACCTTAGAGCATCACTGTACAGCGTCCTTCCTGCATCATGAAAGCAGCTGAACTGGCAAACTGTGACCAATGTCTGTTTCACCCCTCCCTCTTCACTCCCTCAGTAAACAGCACCTTTCCTCCAGGTGCTCAGCCCCAAACCTTGGAGTCTTCCTTGATTCCTTTTTCTCTCCCACTGGACATGGAACTCTTAACATAACTTTTAAGCTCTACCTTTCCAAATGCATCCAAATGCAGTGCCTCCTACCTTTCCTTTCTACTATCCTATCCAAGCTATCATCACCTCACACCTGGGATCTTTGAAAAGCCTCCTAACTTGTCTCTTCCTCCCGAAATCTCATTACCCAGTCACCAGAATGGTGTTCCACTGCTCTTTCCTCCTACATCTTCCCCATCCCTTTGGAAAGAAAACCTAAAGTCCTTTCCATTGTCTCTAGGTCGTAGTGCAGACTCAAGCCCTCCCTGCTCCCTCCACTGGCTCTATCATCCCCCCCTTGCCAGAAACTCTGATCTCCCACCTCAGCGACTTTGCACAGCCACCCCTCTGCTTGGAATGTTCTTCCACCATTTATCAATCACTTCCTTCAGGTCTCTGCTCACATGTCTCCTCCTTGGAGAGGTTATCCATGGCACATACCTTATTGTCTGTCTCCTCCTACTAGATTATAAGGTACTTGATGGCAGGGACCCACTGCTGGGTCTCCAGCACCCTTGCACAGAGTCCGGGAATGAGTTTAATGAACAACCAAGTGTGTAAGTAGCTTGCTCAAAGCCTCTGTCTGACGACTGTACAGACTTGCTGCTAAGTTTCTACCGAATCATGGAAACAGACTTGTTCCTCAATATTTCATAGATATTACAGAGCTCACTGTGGTTGAACCAGAGGTAGGGTGCTCCAAGCTTTCCTTGTCTGGGAAGTTCTTCTCCCCAAAAAACTCCTTGGGGGAAGGGGCCCTCTGAACCCCCAAACCCCTACAGAAGAGTACTAAAAGCACTGGATTAGGTGATTCCTAAAGGATTCTCTAACACAACAGTCCAACACAGTGAGGGAATCAGGAGCAAAAAGACCTTCCCTAGGACTGCTGCACTGCTCTGAAAGTGACCAGAGAGGGAGAAGGAGGAAGCTGATGCCGTGTGATGTTGTCCTGGTAAACAGGGCCTGTGCAAGCTGAAGGGCTGCAGTGATAAACTCTCATCGAGCCCTGCTGTCTCAGGAGTATAATGTCAAGCAATCCACTAATAAGAGATGAGGAAATTGCATCAAGGAAGCCAGCTCACTCTTGGGTAAATGAGAACATAGGGCCTGACGTCAGTATAACACGAGACTCTTATCTTAGCAGAGCCTACATCACAGAAATGATGCTGCTGTCAACCTCATTATGAAAATAGTACAGAAGTCTACAATAGATGTCACTGTCAGCTTCTGGACTGTGAATCAATGACACTAATGCTTCAGTCAAAATAGAAGCTAAACAAGGTCATTGGACTTGACTATTAGATGAACTAATGGGACATAATACAATTCCTGGAACAAAAGCCCAACAAATATTAATTGCTAATAGCCAGCTATGTGAAATTGACTGTTACTAGAGTTTCCTGTGTGGATTTACTAATTCATTTCACAAACATTTGCTGGGCTCTTGCTATGTGCTAGACAATAAAGAGAGGGGAAAAGGCTATAAAAATTGCCCAGCTTTTGTAAGCTAACAATATAATAAAAATGATGGTGGTGATGAAAAGAGCAGCTAGCATTTTTTGAGCATTTGCTGTGCACCAAGTACTATCGGATCCTTTCAGTGTGGTATCTCACATGAGTATCACCATTCTTGTTCAAAGTTGTGGAAATTGAGGCTCAGATACTAATCCAAGGTCACACAGGGGCTCAAATTCCCTCCAACTTTCAAAGTCAATTATCTGTGACCTCCATGGAACAGGGTTTACCATCTGCCCTAGTGGATTAACATTTAAGAGGAGTTAAGGGAGGGTTTCTGAGAACAAAAGAAGAAAACTACTATTATCAGATGCTCCTGCTCCAGCTGGCAGAGGAGGTCAGCCCAGGAGTTCAAGGCAGGGAATCTGTAGCAGTGGCCAGATTAGACTGTGGGGCAGGAATGCATTTAGCTACATAGTTGCCAACACAGATGGGGGAAGGAGATCTCATGTTCTAGACATTTTATTGGATGGCAGGATGAAACCATTCTTATTTTACCCTCAAAGGACTTGGCATTTCTATTAGAAATACAAAGTACAAATTGAGAAATTTACTACCCTTTCTTACAATGCCCATAGTATCTCAGCTGTAACTTCCTCATAGTACTGGCTAATTTCTATTTTACTATTCCAGAGACTGGCTGACACAGAAGGTACTAATTAATTTTTATTGAATATATTACTAAGGACAGAGAAATGTGGACAAATATATCTGTAATCTGCTTGTGTGTGCTCAGGAGTGTCCAACTCTTTGTGAGCCCACCAGGCTCCTCTGTCCATGGGATTCTCCAGGCAAGAGTACTGGAGTTGGTTGCCATTTCCTCCTTCTGGGGAGCTTCCTGACCGAGGGATTGAACCCACATCTCCTGCATCTCTTGCATTGCAAGCAGATTCTTTACTACTGAGCTACCAGGGAAGGCATATCTGTAATCTAGCCAGAAACTAAAAATCCTTGTAGTAGCAGGACAAATAGATCCTTTCCAATTCACAAGCAACAGGGGGGACAGATGAGCCCCAGTGATGACAATACTATCCTCATGGTGATAATGGGGAGTATTTATATAGCACATACTGTGTGCCTGTGACTCTTCGAGGAACTTGACAAATATTCACGCTTAGAATCCTCACCATTGTGTTAGTTGGGCGCTATTACAGACTTCATTTTTTTAGTGAGGTTGGGATAGTTACAGACAGTAACTTGCTCAAGGTCACCGAATAAGTAACTAGCATTTATTGAACACTTGCCTTGTGGCAGAAACTGAGTCCAAAAACTGTACAAGTTCTATTATCTCGTTTAACATTCATAGTAAGCCTGAGTAATTACTGTTATTACTACCACTTGGAGATGAAGATCGTGGGAGTGGGGAAGGTAACTAGTTCTGAGCTCAGAGCACGTGGTTTTAACCACGAGGCTAAGTCGAAGCGTGCAGAGCCGAAGAGTCGACACAGCCTGGGCTTGAGCGGACCGGGCGCTGGGCGAGAGACCTGTTCGCTCCAGGACATGGAGCGTCACGATGGAGTCCTCAACCTGGGCCGCATGGGGTCCGATCTGAGTGCGAGGAGGACCCTCAGCGTCCTCAGATCTCCAGGCCGCAACTTGGAGATTTCCGCACCGGGATGCTGCGATCACTGCTAGCCGCTACTGCCCCCTGCCGCCGGCCCGACCCGAAGCCCAGGCAGGCCCCGCCCATCTCGGTCCTCCGGGGAGAAATTGGTCTGGAGCTGACGGCTGAGACCCAGGTCCTGGCCCGTCGCAGCCGCGACCACCACACCCGGCCCCGCCACTCCTCGTATCCAGAGAAAAAAGACCTCGACTGCCCTGCACTTTCCGCACGCTTCTCTCCGCCCTCACTTCCCTTCCCACTCCTCGGGTCTGCCACTCCCTTTCCCAGGGACACCAGGCCGTGCCTGGCTGCCTCTCCTGGAACCCGCGCGAGCCCACAGCATCCAATCCCGAGTTGCCATGGTGATGTGGCGCAGCCGATAAAAGCCCGAAGAGGCGGCGTCCTGGAGCCGTTGGAGAGCGCCTAGGACCTTAAAGTTGGCAGACCGCCCTCGGTTGCCATGGTGATGTGGAGCTCTGGAGAAGAGTAGCTAGGGGCCGGATCCGTTGGCTGACTGAGCTAGCCAGAGATCGCCGAGGCGGAGGTCCTTCCTCCACCCCGACCCAGGCACTCTTGTCTCCGGGTAATAGGGGGAAGTTCCTTGCGGCTCTCACCGCCGGGCTCCAGTCACCCATCTGCAAGGAAAGCGGGGGCTGGGGTCGCAGACTCTCCCTGGATCTCCGGATTGCAGGGTTGGTTGGGGCCCAAGCCGCTCAGCTCCGGTCCTCCTTTTCCCTCTGTCAGTGCTGCTTAGCCCGCGGTTGCCATGGTAATGCGGGAGCCGAGTTGCTCCGGGCCACAAGTGACTGGAGGTTCCCTCTCCGCTTCCCCCCACTCTTATGCTATGGGTGGTAGACGGCGACCAAAGCCCCAGCAAGATTCTCAAGATTGTGAAGTGGAGAGCGGTGTTGAGGAATGGACACGCTTCTGGGGGCCTCTTGGCTTCTCATCGCGGTTGAGGGTGCAAAAGAGTGGACTGATGATACCTGTTGTCGCAGGACGGCCTGACCTCTTAGAGGCCGCCTAGATTTCGGTGGGGCTTCCCTGGTGGCTCAGTGGTAAAGAATCCGCCTGCCGATTCAGGAGACGCAGTTTCCATCCCTGGGTGGGGAAGATCCCATGGAGAAGGAAATGGCTACCCACTCTAGCATTCTTGCCTGGGAAATCCTGTGGACAGAGGAGCCTGCGGGACTACAGTCCATGGGGGTGCAAAGAGTCTGACACAGCTTAGCGACTAAACAACAACAGTTTTGGGTGGCATGAATGTGCCATGAAAGTGTAACCAGTCCCCTTCTGGAAGAGATTTATATCCAGTCTTTTATTACTGCAAACAGTGCCGTAGTAATAGCTTCGACTACACCTCTGTGTACATGTGCAGTTTTCTCTGTAGAATAAATTTCCAAAAATAAAATTGCTGTGTCAAAAACCAAATGCAATTTTAATCTTCATGGTTATGGCCAAATTGTCCTCCAAAGACACTAGCAAATTAACACCGCCAACAAAACTGGAATCCAATAATTTTAATTGGAATTATATCAACAGTGATAAACTGCTGCGAAAGAATTTTTCCAGAACCAATGCCATTAAGCCAACTTAATTCTTTGATCAGTTGTTTTTTAACACAATATAGTCAAATAGTATTCAATCTCATTTTATGGAAATTATCTCTGGGTGATTCTTTTACATCTAGATTTCAAAATAATAAACATTTTGCTTGTTTAATTGTGTAAAGCACTTTATTTTAGTTTTTCTCATAGTGAAGTTTTTTATGTCAACATCTTTTTACTGAAAACAAAGACAAAAAACCAGTCTTAGACATTCAGAAGCTGACTTGACATAATTTGGCCATGTTATTCTCCTACTGAACATAAGCAATATTACAGAATACTAACCTCAGACAAGCATCCTCTGGAAGCATGCTAAAATGAAACAGAGCTAGGCTACCACACAAATTTGTCCCAGCACAGACAAAAAGATGGTCACTGTCTCAACCACAAAATACCAAACATCCCCCTCTCTTGGCCAAAATGAGTGACTGCGACTTCTTTACCAAGTGGAGTTTCTACTGAGTGAAGTCAGAGAAAGACAAATATCATATGATATCATTTATATGTGGAATCTAAAATAGGGTACAAATGAACTAAGCTGAAGCTCCAATACTTTGGCTACCTGATTTGAAGAGCCAACTCATTGGAAAAGACCCTGATGCTGGGAAAGATTGAAGGCAAAAGGAGAAAGGGGAGGCAGAGGATGAGATTATTAGATAGCATCACTGACTCAATGAATGAATGTAGAAAATTATGTAGAAAATAAGCTTACGGATGGGAGAGAGAAATTCGAATCTGAGAAAACCCTGGGAGATAGTGAAGGACAGGGGAGACTGGCATGCTGCAGTTCATGGTCTCAAAGAGTCAGACATAACTTAGTGACTGAACAACAACAACAAAACAGAAATAGAGTCACAGATGTAGAAAATAAACTTACAGTTTCCATGGGGTATAGAGGGGAGAGGTAAACTGGAAGATTGGGTACACACTACTATATATAAAACTGACAACTAACAATACTCTGTAAAGGCCTATGTAGGAAAAGAATCTAAAAAGACTGGATATATGTATATGTATAACAGTCACTTGGCCGTACACCTGAAACTAACAGCATTGTAAATCAACTATACTTCAATAAAATATTGTTTTAAAAATTAGTTTTATCCTCCTGTAGTTCACCTTCCCAAGAGATTAGATTTATTGAGATACCCAGTCACAGAATTGCACCTGATTTTTTAAAGCAGCCAATCTAAAGCAAACCCCGCTTTCATAAATCCTCCCCAAATCAACCAACCAAAGTTCAAATCCTATGAGTTTCTTTCTAACCCTTTTTCTGAGATACTCAATATTTCCCCTGTGGTGTGTGTTCTCCCTGGCTGCAACAATTAATAAACTCAACGTGGTCAATTACATGTGTGTTCCTGGGGGTCTTTGACTAGAAGGCATCACCACTAGCAAGCTCAATTTTCTTTGGTAGGACTTTCCAGGTCTAAAATTTGTCGGTGGCAGTCTTCCGTAAATGTTTAATATGGAACAAGTTTCATGTGGACTGATTTTTCCAAACTTTTGCAATTTTCAATGTTACCCTCAAGATATGAGTCTTCTGAGTTTTTTAAAAATAATTTTGCAGCAGGTGCATCTTAAACATTATCAATTATTTCTACCAGTAACTGTCATTGTGAATCAGACTGAAGATTGGTAATTGGTATCTACTTCTTAACTTAAGAACTATCAGTAGGGTAATGATGTAGGACTTGGATACACAGCAAAAAAAAACATGTTTTGCTTTAATTGGCAGGTTTATAATATGCTACCATGCCCTTATGTGGCACAGGGGAACACAGACCTTGGCATGAAGAAATTCAGAGCCTAATCGGAGAGACAGAAGACCTGGCTGGGCTCAGTTTGCCAGCTGGATGAGAATTAAAAAGCCCTTCCAGTTGGAGGGAGCAGCCAAATGCTGTCGTTTAGTCACTCAGTCATGTCCGACTCTTTACGATCCCATGCACTGCAGCACGCCAGGCTTCCCTGTCCTTCACCATCTCCCGGAGCTTGCTCAAACTCACGTCCATTGAGTCGGTGATGCCATCCAACCGTCTCGACCTCTGTCATCCCCGTCTCTTCCTGCCTTCAATTTTTCCCAACATCAGGGTCTTTTCTAATGAGTCAGCTCGTCACATCAGGTGACAAGAGTATTGGAGCTTCAGCTTCAGCATCAGTTCTTCCAATGAATATTCAGGACTGGTTTTCTTCAGGATTGACTGGTTTGATCTCCTCACTGTCCAAAGGACTCTCAAGAGTCTTCTCCACCACCACAGTTCAAAAACATCAATTCAGTGCTCAGCCTTCTCTATGGTCCAACTCTCACATCAATACATGACTAATGGAAAAACCATAGCTTTGACTAGATGGACCTTTGTTGGCAAAGCTATGTCTCTGCTTTTTAGTATGCTGTCTAGGTTGGTCATAGTTTTTCTTTCAAGGAGCAAGCGTCTTTTAATTTCATGGCTGCAGTCACCATCTGCAGGGATTTTGGAGCCCAAGAAAATAAAGTCTGACACTGTTTCAACTGTTTCCCTCTCTATTTACCACGGAGTAATGGGACCGAATGCCATGATCTTCATTTTTTTGAATGTTGAGTTTTAAACTAGCCTTTTCACTCTCCTCTTTTACTTTTATCAAGAGGTTCTTTAGTTCCTCTTCGTTTTCTGCCATAAGGGTGGTGTCATCTGCATATCTGAGGTTGTTGATATTCCTCCTAGCAATCTTGATTCCAGCTTGGGATTCATCCAGCCTGGCATTTTGCATGATATACTTTGCGTATAAGTTAAACAGGGTGATAATATACAGCCTTGACATACTCCTTTTTCAATTTGGAGCCAGTCCATTATTCCATGTCTGGTTCTAAATGTTGTTTCTTGACCTGCATACAGGTTTCTCAGGAGGCAGGTAAGGTAGTCTAGTGGGCCCAGTTCAGAAGTGAGAGACTTCTGTCCGTTTTTAAAAGTTCCCCTCTCCACCTGCTGCGCCAGGGAGTGCACCGCACAGAGTGATAATTGAGTGGATTGATTTCCTGACCATCACCATTCTGTATGACTTACGGGTCACGGCGACATTTTTAAGAACTTTAGTAAAAGTACTTTGTGTAGACGCAGGAAATATGGCTGGGTGGTTGACCAAGAACCCTGCGTGCACAGATAGGAAAACAAGTTCTGGAAATGCAAAATGGTGTCAGATTTATATATTTGGTTTGTTAATTTTCTATCACTGTTTTTCATGGTTTTTGTGGACAAATAATGGTTGCTTTGCTGAAGTGTTTCTTCATCCTTTTTGATTGCCTATACCTGCCCCTAAAGATGTCACATGACCAGAAGGCATGTGGGTGGTTTGAGGGCTGAGTTTTTTTTACTCTTATTTGGGGTATTGCTACTCTGCAGCTGATGGGGTTTGTGGGCTGGATCAGTGGTGACAGGATTAGAAAAGGGAGTGTAGGAACCTGGCTCTCAGAGACAAGATTTGCACATTTGCAACAAGTCCAAGATTTCCTAGATCAAAATAATTCCTGATTTTGAAATTGGGTTTTTGTTTAGGATCAAAATTAAGACAAGAACAGGTATACTTCTTTGGATACGTTTGTGTAACTTAAAGAGTGTCATCAAGCTTTTGGGCTCTCGGTAGCATGTGATTATCCATAAAGAAGATGCAGTGTCCTTCCTGAAATCATTATGTTTAAAATCTTTTACCTGTGTAAATAGTACAGAAGCATTGGTCTTACATATCTCAAGTACAAATAGACAGCTGCACTTTTTTTGCACATTGGATTAACGATATCTCCCATCAGCAACAAACATCAGTCTGTTTTCAACCAGTATTAAAGACT